TAGACACAGAAGATGCTAGCAAACCTTACGTTAAAAAAAAATACTGGCAACAAGGCTTTGAGTATTGATCAGAGTATCCAGAGTCACAGTGATTGTGCTTGCATAGTTGTGCTACATGTTACTGAGGATGCTTAAAAAATAATCACTTAACAAAGCACTTATCAAATCATATGTATTAGATATAATCTATTTTAACTTTTAGATTTTTAGTTGCCTATAATAGCTTCAGCCAATTACTTATATAATTGGTTGAGTGTAAAATCTTTATACAATTCAAGTGGAAATGCACTAAGTAGCCTAAATTACATGAATAATTCACCTAATATGCTGTTATTAAATTTTGAACTAGTTACTTTTTATTCTATGTTATTTTTGCTCTAGGAAACCTTGGAGCCAGAGAGGTGGAGAAATGGGCTCAACTGGGAAGCATGAAATCGAGACTGGAGGGAATTAGTCCAGAGCATCATCCCAAGAGGAAGGGAAGTATGTATGGAAGCATATTAACACAAGCTGGGCCCATGCAGCAGCCTTCCTGGCACTCGGGGAACTCTCTGAATCACTGTCTGCCAACTTTGCTAAAGGCTCAACTACTTCTGCTTTAGATATGTGTTTCTTTGTTAAGCATTCTCAGTGACCGTTTGTGTGATACATGATTCCCTGATGAAATTTAAGGACATAATTTGTCTTTAGTACAAAAGGGAGAAATGAATATGTCAGTGAGCCAAGGGATGCCACATTGCTTTGGTCACTTCCGGTGTCAGTTTAGTTTCCTGAGGTGAGTGTTACTGACAATTAGATATGAAGAGCAAAGAGAATTTAACTGAGGAAGAAGTACCTTCACGGGAATAGGGGAGAAAGGAAAAATCTTTGGCACCATATTATTGTTGGTCGTTACAGTTTATAATTTCCCCAGAAGGAAGGAAGTCTCAGCAAGAATTCCTGTCCATAGAGACATGGCCTTTTCTCCCCAGTGGAGGAGATTCTACAGGAATGTTCTGGTACATTCCAGAAAAGACAAAAGAATGTGACAGACTGCAATAGGAAAATAACAAATGTGTTTTTATTTTGGAGTACTACTTCACACCTTATGAGCCAATATTTGTGCAGACTTAGTGGAGGGGAAGTATTTAGAAAGATTAGAGGCAGAAGAAGTAGGAGAAACCAGGCTGACTTCATCTTTGCCCTGGGAGCCATTTGAAGACTCCCGCCAAGCTAGGTTTTACTGTAAAACTTACATTTCTGTTTCTCAGAATTGGCCTACGCCCCTGTGAACACAGGAGATGTTCTATAACAAATATTCCAGGAAGATTTCCTTAACTGCAATCTGTAACCAGGATTGCTTGTAAAAATCTCCCACCTTGTAATTTTGCCTTATAAAAGAGGCTTGAAAATTCGGCTCAGGGCTCCTCTCTGGAACCCATTTTAGGATGAGACAGCCGCTCAACTTTCTTTGCTTCTATTGGCTATAATTTGTGGTTGGTGGCCTTTAATCTCATTTAGTGGGATTAACATTTGGAGCCTCCAGCAAGATAAGACCCCTACCCAAATTCAGAAACCTGACCCCTATCCTCTGGGACTGAAGCCCCACTTCCTTGGGGATGCACACCTTGGTGGGCACAATTTCATTTAAGGGGGGTCATACAAGCAAATGGCCTCATCAGCAGGAAACCAGCAAGCCTTTGTCTGGAGAGGCCTTCATTGGTAAGCCATAGTCTTACTTCAATGACATCTTGTCCTGATTCTGTTGGAACACCATCAAGGACCAGTGAGGTATCTGACCAGGCATATGAACTCCTGGCCAGGGTGCTAGCAAGAAGTCACACAGCCAGTTTTGTAATACTGGAAACCCAGATGGAAGTCAGTTGGGCCCAGTTGTATGAATTAAAGTGACTCCAACATGTTTTGTTTTTAACTGATCTCTTCTGACTGTATAATGTATTGTGTGTTCCATGTTTATTCATTTACTTTTTGCTGTCTCAATCCCTTTCATGTGTTTCTGTGAACTCATTAATCTTTTTAGGTATAGGAATCAGACTGAGCAAACGAGGGAGAGAATGGGAGCAAGTGCAGCTGCAGCGGCTCACTGTCCTTGGTCTCTCAGCTCCTTCCTCTGTCTATAGCCAGGACCCTAAATGATGCTGGAGCTGCCATTGCTCATACACCACTAGTTGGGGAGATGCAGGTACCCCCTCCCAGCATCCTACCCTGGACCGCTTTGTCCATTTCCCCCTCTCTCAGGCCTAAATCTACTGCTATTGCTGTGGCAACTCCTGTCACTTGCTATGGCTGCTTTGATAGCCAGGGCTCGGAATTTATTATCTCAGCTTTCTCTGTTCTCAGATTGTTCTGTTGCAGCACACCCCTCCACATCCCCCCCCCCCCCCCCCGAAATCACTTTTGCAGGGATTCTGGTGTTCTTTAAGTGTTTTATGTTGTTCTACTTTATTTAAGAGTTCTGAAGTTGGGTATGACTCCCTCCCTTTCAATTCAAGCAAGTTTGTCTAAAAGTTTCTTGGGAAACAAAATCTCTGTCCTATATCAGGAAGACCACCTGACTTTGTGACAGGGGAAAGAGAGCAAATCAAACGGCTGAAAAATAGACTGCTAGTTTCATTTTTCTGCCTTTTCTCAAGATTTACATTTGTGTAAATTTTTTGAACCTCAAGACTTGCAAATTTATTGAATCTGGTTGAAAAGTTTGTAAAATCTGTAACAAAAGTTGACTTAACTACGGGGTCGATAGTTAAAAAATTATACATAGATAATCTTAAAGGGATATATACCAAATGGGTTTACCTTAGAATAAATAACAGCAATGTGACTTGGCACCACCATCTTGACTGATCATCCCCACCAGGATAGAAGCAAACACATGGCTGGTAGACAACTTTCCTGAAGATGAGGAAGGTACATGCCATGTGACTTTACTACCATTCTGTTTATACTTGATCATGCTAAATTCAAATGTACTTTATAGGAATAAATTTTACTTAACTTTCTATAAATATTTTCAAGGTCAATACTAAATGACTAAAAACAAGTAAAGTTTGTTTTTAAAGTCAATAAATAGATAGCAGTCCTCAGTGCGTAACTACAATTCAGGACTAGCGTTGTGAGAGAAATACCGGGTGTCTTAACAGACTAGAACAGAGTAGACGGATTAACACTGAGGAGGAACCACACACCAGCCAATGTTCACCTGCACACAGCAAAAGCGATGTTAGCTTAAGTCTAAAGGGATTCACAGGATGTGTTGAGTGACTTTCATAATGAGTATTGAAGCAACCACGGGGAGAATAAGCTGGGGCCTCGAATCTGCATCACGGGGGAACTCTGAGGGAAGGCAGCTGCTGCCCTCAGAATAGCATCACTCTGCTAAATTGCCACAGAACTGGATGTCTTGCAGCCTGCTAGGTTCTGAATTCAAGTTCCCCGCAAGGGCCTCAGTTTGCTAAATGTAAAGCCTTTCAGCACCTCCTCGGCACAGACCGTGGCAAACAGCACAGCGTTCAGTTCCTCAGTTCCGGGAACCAAACTAGAGACACTGGAAGTCTTAAACAGAGAAGCCACTCTGTCTGCGCTGTTGAAAAGAAAGGCCTTCCCCTGGGGAACAGCTTAAATGAAAGGGAGGAGCTTCCTGAGAGCAGACTGGCCTGAGCAAAGACCCAGGCAGACAGATCTGTAGATTTAAGCTGGGAAGGAGGAAGAATTTGGTCATTTCGCCCATTCAGACCTGTCTAGGAGTCAGTGTGGAGATCAGACATGGAAGTCAACTCAGCTTAGCTGGAGCATCAGTCACAGGCCGTGGCCCCAATGTAACCCTTTTCTTAAATAGTAGTGGTGTCTTTGAGGCCGTCAAGCAAAGATACTATTAAAGTAATAGATAATTCTGGCTGCTGTGGACAATGGGTTGAGGAGAGCCACTGTTGGGCTTCTGCTCAGGGAGTGGAGATAGAGTAAAGTTAGCTGATGCTAATAATCACCTCTAGGATGCTCAACAAGACCCAGGGAAATGCAGAGGAAATAGCAAAGGTGCTAATGCCTCCAATGATCATTATGCCATTTCCTTTCTTCCTTCCTCCCTCCTTCCCTACTTCCCTCCCTCCCTCCCTCCCTCCCTCCCTCCCTCCCTCCCTTCCTCTTTCTTTCCTTCCCTCTTTATTTTCAAGGATCAGCATGTAGAATCCTGGCTCAGTACACAGTGTGACTCATTGTCACCAGTTTACTTCCCCTCTGATTTCTTTGGATCGGCATTATCATCAGCATTTTGAAGGACTGTGTGCACTACACACTGGAGTTAGCTGCTCCATTTCACCTAACACCTCAAAGGATAGATGGGGTGTTTAGTTTTAATTGGGCATGTTAATTAGCTGAGCCAAAGGGAATTTCTGATTGATGGATCTTGGTGGTGGACCTCAGGAGGAGAAAGTGGCCAAATAAGGGAATAAACTTTGGTGACTCGCTTTAGGAATGTAATCCAAAGGCTTTTAGCAAGCTAGAAGGAATGAGAGGGAAGGGCAAGGCCTGCCACAGCCATGTTTGCTAGGCCTGGGGTGGTTAGAGTCCCTTCAACGACCTCTGTGCTCAGAAACTAAGTGAAGGCTTGTAACTTCATAATAATCGATAAAGGTTCAGGAAAGGAAGAGATCATGGAAAGAGTGAAGAGAGTGTGGCCCTTGCCTACAATTCATGAGGCTGCAGGAGAGAAAGGGAGGGGAGAGGGAAGGGGAGAGAACGGGAGGGGAGAGGAAGGGAGGGTAGGGGGAATAGAAGTAACTATGGATAAAAGGCTATAGTTCACATAGAGATCGGGGAAATACTGAAGGGATTTGACAAAAAAAAAAACAAATAGGAAGAATAACGTAAAGTGCTGGAGGAATGGGCCTCTGCTTCACAAAGTGACAGCATTAAAAATAGCATCTGAATGAACATATTTCACGCCCCAGTGCATGATATTGCTATTCAGGCCCGTGTCTTTGCAACCCGTGTAAGAACGTTACCTGTGTTGCTCTCTTGTGGGGAAGAGGTGTAAATCTCTCAGCGGGCTGTGAGCAAGGACATGAGGAGCTGGATGTCATGCCACAAGGTGCCACCTCTGCTGTGAGGACTGGAAGAGCTTCAACAATGGCGTTCAGAAAAAGAGAGACAGAGATATGTGGGGAGGGTGAGGGGATGGAAGGGGAGTAAAAATAGTCCAACCGCTTCCAAATTTCTCTCCTCTCCTTCCTCTCAGCTAATTCTTTTCTTAAAATCTTACATCTGGCTGCCTCCCTCACCGCTCTCCTAAAGCTATTTTCGAAGTCCCTGGTGGCCTCTGAATTTCTAAATAGGAATGCGTTCTCCGCCATTATTTTTCTGCCTGCTCTGCTTAGAAAGGAAGTTGTATAGCGAGGTCTGTTTTATGCTCAACTTACACCCTCCACTCTTTCTAAGAAAGACAACAACGACTCAAAAGTAAATAAGTAAATATATTAAAAACCAAGCTAAAAAAGTAATAATCACTCCGCATTTCTACTTCAGGCTCCACAACTGAGCCGATTAGCTGCAGATGCTGAGAACATCCCTCTCTTCATAGAACCTGCTCACACACAGGAGCAAGTACAAACAGCAAGTCCATGCATCCTGACACGGTTTCCTAAAAATGCAAAATCAATGCTTACATCATACGTTGCTATGATAATCATACTTCATCCAGTGGTTTCACCAAAATGCCTCAGAGCTGTTATTCTTCTGTTCTGGTCCCTTTAAGGGCAAGCCACGCCCACTCCCAGCCACTTCTGACCTCCCTCCTTGCCATCTTAACTCTCTGTGTCTCCTCTGTCTCTATGTTTTTATGTCTCTTTATCTCTGTCTCTCTGTTTCTCTGCCTCTTCTTTAAGTAATAAATGTTTAGCTTTATGTATAGCCTTATGTCCATTTACTCCGCCGTCCACTGCACCCATTCGCCTGCTCTCCAAGCCGCATGGCAGGACCAGCCTGCCACCCTGGGGACCTTGCAGGAACCCACAGCTGTCCTTGTCGGACTAGCAGCTGCTCTGCGAGCCTGCCAGGGAACATTAAAGAACAAAAAGAGCAACAAGAAGGAAACTCTTTGGAGTTCCTTAACTAAAAACATCAGAATGGAGCCAGCAGCATGGTTTTGCAGGTGAAGGTACTTGTTGCCAATCTGAATGAACTGAGTTCAATCCCCAAACCCCACATAGTGGAAGAAAAAAATGGATTCCTACAAATTGTCCTCTACCTCTCACATGCAGAATACAGTACACTCATGCATATAGTATGTACACACAAAAACACATACACAAAATAAATACATGTAATAAAAAAATTAAATATCGTAAGACAACTGGCAAAGCACACCTAAATAAAAGACTTCACGCTCCTCCCTTGTGAGTGTAACTGTGTGACATTTTTCTTCACTTCGGCTTCAGCAGCTGGGCTGCTAGGCTGCAAGATACATTTTGTATCTTGGGAAACATTTAAAATGCTGCTGTTAGGAAGCTTGCTGAAGTACACACTTCAGCTGAATGCGCACTAGGGGACTTTCTGAGCTTCCTGGAGAACAGCAGCCCTCAAAGCCTTCCTGTCGTAGGAAGACACCTCGGAAGTTTCTAGTTCTTTCCTGCCTTTGTTTTCAGTAGCTTTTCTATCCCTTTGCTCGTTTTTCTTTGCCACACTGTATATCTTTTTATATTTATTTTTAATTTACGTATTACATTGGAGAAGTGAGCCCACGAACTGTCTTATAAATCACAAATACATCTTTTAAGTTCATAAGTCTACCTTAAATCACATGTGTTCTATTACTTGGTCAAGATTTAAATCTTTTGCTGTATTTTTGTTACTTATACCTTCCTTTCTCCTTTTATTTTGTTTTCTTCCAGAATTATTGGAATTCTAGAAAAAAGATCTCCTCTAAGTATATGCTATAGTAATTTTGATTTAGAGTATTTCCCCCCTGGTCCTTGAGCCATTGACCCTGCAACTTTAAGAATGTTAGGAAAGCATTTTTCCAGGGAGCTGCATCCTCCCTGTAACAATGCATTACGTCTAACACTTTTAGGATTCATATTCCCATGCTTACTTATTTAATCTACCAAGAACTTATTTTGGATGTTTCTATTTCTCCAAGTTATTATCCACTATCGCTTTTGCATAGGCAGCACCTTTAGAAGGAATGCCGCTTAAAGTAAATTTATCTCTTTACTTTCTTTCCTCAAAGAAATTGTTTGAAATGTTCACTTTTATGGATCCAGTTAAACTCAAAATCTTTTTAAAAACTCAAGAAAATTTTATTTTAATTTAGATTTTCTTTAAATTAAATTTAATTTAAACGGTATCTTCATTTTGATTTAGCATTTTATCAACATTTATGGTGAGTTTGCAGTTTTAAAATATTTAGTATTTAGTGCTAGAGATCAGCTCAGTGGTAGATTTCCCACCTTGCATTGGCAAGACCCTATGTTTGATTTTAGTACAAAAGAAACAGAGAGAGAGAGAGAGAGAGAGAGAGAGAGAGAGAGAGAGAGATTTCAAAATTAGTGTGAAAGACTAAAATAGTCTTTTAATATACTCATCCCATAAGTAGCTTAGTGATTTAGTGATTTCATGTTACTTCTGTGTGTTTCTTTTTGAGCTTACTATTAGCTGCTACTTAATTTATTTTTTAATATCTGAAGCTACCTTTTTATATCTATTTATAATTTATAGTTATTACACATAAAGAAAAGATGTATCATATACGTTTTGTTATTGTTCACCTCGGTATACTCTTATTTCCCATGTTTCCATGAGTATCCCACACAGGGGATTACACAGTTTCTATGAAACATGATTATTTTGACTCTTCCCATTAAATATTGAGAAGCTAAACCTCACCTCCTTGTCTGCTCACAGTGGCTAGCATGGCAATCATGTTCTGAATTTTCAAAACACTCTTTCTGTAAAGGATGGTGAAACTACGATCTTCCAGGTTAGAGCAATCAATACTCTGAGAAATGTCTTAGAATTTTCTATTTTTTTCCATTAAATCAAATCAAACAAGTTTATGTATACAATGCCTCACTGCTTCTACTATGTTTCGATATTTTATGATTTTTGTGTCTTGTTTAAATAAAGTACATTTCTTTCCAGTAGGAGCAAACATATGTTCCCTATCATTGCTACTATGACAACGTTATTATCAGTATTGTTTGTTTTCTACTTCTTTTTAAACTTTCTGTTAATTGACATATTCCCCTTTCTTCATGTCATATATACATACATACTATATATATATATCAAGCTCATATATACACACACTTATATATGTGTATATATACATTTATATGTGTGTAAATATATTTATGTGCGTATATGCACATATATACAAATATGTATATATACACATGAATATACATATATATATATTTATATATAAATAGAGAGAGAGAGAAAGAGAGAGAGAGATTATTTGGTTAGTTCATTTAGTATGGTCTCCAGTTGCGTATAGGTCCCAGCAAACTGTAGAATTTCATTCATTTTTGTGGCTGACTGAAACTCCATTTTGTATGTATACCAAGTTTTTTTCCAGTTAACTGTTGAGAGACATCTAAGCTGACTCTATAATTTGATATTATGAATAGTCCTACAATAAACATGACTGTACAGACATCTTTTGATATGTTAACTTAAGGTCCTTTGGGTGTGTACCCAGAAGTAGTAAAGAACCTATCGTAGTTCTGAACATCATAATGAAGTCCATATTGGTTTCTAAGCTGAACGGACTAATTTACATCCCCACCAGCAGTGTGTGAAGGTCCCTCCATCTCATTCCCCACATCTTCACAATCATTTGTTGTTATTTGTTGTTGTTTTATTTTCTGGTAGTCATTTTAACTGGGATAAAACAGAATCTTGGTGAAGTTTTTAATTTGAATTTCTTTAGCTATGTTTTAAATACAACTTTATTTCATCTAATTGTTTCCGAGAATTTCCATCTTAGACAAACACATAAAGTTTTTCAATTTAACAAACACAACACACTCCAGTGTGTGTGTATGTGTGTGTGCACACCCACACATGTATGCACGCATGCACGTGTGCATGTTCCACAATCAATATAACTTTATTCTTCTGCTTTTTTGCATTGTTAGATCAGATAATGTCTAAGTGCTAACAAATTCTTCTTGAGGAATCTATCAAGATAACCATGACTTAGCCTATTCCTGTATCAGACTTGATCATTTATAAGCAGCAGAAATATGATAAGCCCACTCTGGAAGTGACGGAGTCTAAGGTCAATTTCCAGCAGACTATTTCTGGAGAGCATCTGCCTTTTGCTTCAGTGACAGCACTTTGTTGATGTGTCCTCTCGGGGTGAGAAAGGAGGCAAAAAACCTCTATAATAGCAATAATCCCATTCATAGTTCTCAAAGGCCCCTCCTCTTCATAACAACCACATGGAAGGTAGCTGCCAACAGATAAATTTTCCAACATGCAGATGGGCATTGGTGGCACATGGCTTTGGGTGGCAGAAGCAGTTGGATCTCTGAGTTCAAGACCAGCCTGGTCTACAGAGCAAGTACCAGGGTAGTCAGGGCTAAACAGAGAAACCGTATCTTGGGGGGATAAATTCCAAACATGCAAAGCAGAGCTGTCCTCCTCCATTATAACAACTATTTACAGTTGTAGATTGCACAGCAATTAATTAATTGGCAACTTTTGCAGAATTTTTTGTTGATGAATTTTATTGGACTTTTCAAGGAGTTTTGGATTCTAGTTGCTAGCATTTTATTTAGGATTATTTATGCCCATGTATATAAGTGGCACTTAACTGAAATATTATCCTTTTTCATTCTTGCTACAAAACACTATTTTTCAGAGTCTGTGGGCTTTGTTTAAAATTCTTGTTTTTTCTCTTCTGGGGCTGTTTAAATAGCCAAGAAATTATCTGGGGTTTACAGGCATAAAATCCCCTGGAGAACATAAGTTAGAGGAATATTATTTTATGACTGCTTTATCCTTAAGTTTCTTAATTTACATTTCCCTAGAAATTTGTGTGTTTCTCATTTACTGTGTGATGTAAAGTTGTTTTCATTGTTTTTATGTCTTCTCTAGTAAGATGTAACTTTGTGTTCTTACTTTTAATTTACCCTATAATTTATGTACTTGTTGGTCTTTTCAACAAACTGCTCTTTGATTGATGATCTGATTCTTGTTTGAGGTACAGTTGTTTTTATTCCTTATATAGCTTTATTGTATTTACTTTGTGGGTAATTTTTTTTCTTTTTTCAGTTGACTATTTCAAGGTTGTTGAATCTCCTTTTATATGCAAAGTATTATTTTAACAATGTTTTATTTTTTTATATTACAGTTTTAAAATTCTTTTGAACCCAGAATTATTCAGAAAATTTGTTGAATTTTCTATTTATTTTTTGCTTTAATTTTATTTACATTTTCTGGTTTATTTTCAGTTCTTAATGAACTGTGGTGAAATGTGTGCTGACTACTCACATGTAGCAGAGCTGGTTTCATTTTTTTTCATATCTAGTGAGTAATTTATGTTTTCAGTTACCTTTGTAAAAAGCCATATTTTGTTTTGAAGGGGTATAGGATTGAATAACTATTATGCAAAGTAAGTTACACTGCTTAAAATTTGTCCTTGTATTTTTTTTTCTCTCCCTTGTATTTTGTCAGTCAAAAATTGAAAGAAGTGATTAAAGCTTTATTTCTCGGAGGATGGCTCTTCATTTCTCAC